GCCGTGCCTGGACACTTCTGATTTATCTGTGCATTTCAGAATTATGTTGCTGACCTCTTCACCTCATGGCCATTTGTGTCACCCCTTGAAGTTCTGTTCATGTAATCATCCCCACCACTACCACACACACCCCTACCAACCACAGAGACAAAACAAACTGCCGTGTCATCTACAGTTCAGTACAGACACATTTGGTAGATGTGACAGTCCAGCTTTAATTTGCTTAAATCTACTTCTTGAGCAGCTGAGGAAAGGCTCCTTAAAGATGTCTTAAATTAATTCTGAAAAACATTTTACAATTATAAATGTTGCCAAGATATTTTCCCGGGAATGTTGACATATTATCAAGTGTATTGTATGTTGTGTGATGGTATTTTAAATGTTTATTGTTGTTGTTACTGTCAGTGAAACTAAATGTTGTCAGGTGACTCATGAAAAGGTCACCAACTATCAATAAACGCACTATTGCATATCATGCAACTACAACTCATACTTAAGTATACATGTATGGTTTTTCTCATATTACCATGAGCCCTTGAAACTGATTAACTAACGGAAGAGTTGTAATTTTCTGGAATCTGTATCTAAAGAAATTCCTGCACATAAGTCGAATCACACTAAATGCTATAAGAAGTCTCATCAAAGGTGCCTTTCAGGTATTAGACTGTGCCTCCCTCTGGTGGATGTCAAGAGTTAAGTTCTCCCTATTTATCTTCCAATGGGCCTGATCAAATCAGTTACACTTTTACATTACCTGACATTTAAGCCTATCATGATCTTGGGTCTTTGATGAAACGTTTTTGCGCTGCTTTTCCACAGAATGAACCTTTTGGGATTTCCTTACCTGCATAATTGAGCATGCATCAAGACTGTTTGAGTTTAGTTTTTCCCTCAGTTTAACTTTTCTCATGCTTTTGTGTCAATTCTTCTGTTTATGTCATTCTTTCCCCATTTGGCTATTGCTTTTCTATTTCATGAAGCTGTTGCAGAAGGAGGAACCATCAACCTGACCTGTATATATGATGGTCTTATCAACAACATCCAGTGGTACCGACAATACCAGAGATCCAGACCAGAGTTCCTGCTCTACATCATGGAGGGAGGATCAGTTCATCAAACTGTGTCGGGTTTCTCGGCTCACACTGACCAAACTAAGAAAAGTGTAGATCTGGAGAGCTCTGGATTTAATGACTCTGCTGTGTACTGCTGTGCTGTCAAGCCCACAGTGACAGGGAACACCAGAACTGTATAAAAACCTTTGGAGCAAAGACAACACAATACTCCACAACATCCACCAGAGGGCGCTACACACCTTTGTTAGGATACAAACTAGAGTCATAACACACAGCTCTGATAAAAAAAAGAAAAGAAATCAAAAGATTAGATTCTTTAAGTTTCAAAAAGATTTAGTTTATATATTTTAAATTATACAGTAAATGTATACGAGTGACCGGCAATAGTTCAGTCAAATTATCCTTGAAACTAGCTACTCTTTTGTAGTTGCTGGCTCTCTGCAGTTTCTCCAAGGGACAGGAATTTCACATCCCAGTTCATGCATCCATAAGTGTCTTGGATAGCTGCTCCCTGTTCTGTGTTTTTTACATTTATTTATTATAGTTTAAGCCTGAAGACTCGTGCTGACAGATTTCCACCAGCTCCTTTGTTTTGGCCACATTTAGCTGCAGGTGGTTCACCTCAAACCACCTCACAAAGCAACCAATCCACACTTCCAATAATGGCTGTGTCATCAGAGAATTTCTGAAGGAGACAAATTTCTGTGATGTAAACTGAAAACAGGCTGCAGCTGCACATGGGCAGGTGACATAAGTTGACCTGCTGTCACCTGGATCTGGAGCTGTACTGTAAACAAACACTGAATATACTTAACAAACTAAAATAATTAAGTACATCAGTTCCATGGCTGGAAACTCTCGATATCCGAGCAGAGTAGTGGATCAGTAGGTTAAAGTTTGCTAATAATCTCTGGTGATTTAAGCTACGCTGCCTAATGTTTCTGACGACATATAGAGAACAAATAAAATAAGCACACACTATAAGTCACAGCAACATTATCAGAATAGTTTGAACATGTGCTTTATTCAAGTTAAAGTGTGTTTGAAACTGCATCACATCTCTGCATCTGTTCTCTGCTGCAGCAACAAAGTCTAATTATTAATGAGAAACCAGCCTGTGTGTGTGAGACCGTAACCTGAGGACATCAACAACACTGGACATAACACCTGTTTTCATTCTATCAACAGAAAAGTTACAGAAATATTAAATTTGAAGACAAATTCAGAAAATAATACTAAAATGCGCTATATGTAAAATTTGGGGGTGCTCGAGCGCCCGGGATAAGTCTGTAAACTCCCCTATGAAGCATTTGTCTTGTGCTTCCCATGAATGAAGCTCATATTCTATACACAGTGTTTCAACCACGTCTGAGTGCCCGTGTGGGCACAAGTTAGAGGAAGCGGGACTCCGTAACATGCGCGTAACACGCCAGGAGCTCACGCGAAAGCCATGGTTATTTAATGCGCCTTTACGCGGAACTATTGGCGGCAAACATAAGCAGCAGCGTTCAGCATGGGTCTCCGGTGCTCCCAAACCGTACCGGCGGTTGTGCTAATCGTCGTGGCAGTTGTGGGGATTCTGTTGTTGGTCCTTCCAGCTAAAGAGATGGCGCTGCCTCCAGAAAACATGGTAAATATTATTGTAGACGCATATATTCATAGACGCGCAGAACACCGTTCCAAATCTAGGTCAGGATTTTGGTAATGTGTGCATCCGAAATGCACATTAGAAGTTAAATTTGGGTACACAGCTAAGCCAGATTTTAATATTAGTTTGAAAAATGTCAGATTTTCATTTTAGAAGGCTCTGCGCAAAGATGTGACTGAAAGTACAAGAAATCTAAACATGCACAGTTCATCCCATACTACGTTTTCTGCCATCATCATGTATCAGTCCAAGTAAGGAAATACAGAAGATCTTTATTTTAATACTTTATGTAAATTATACCACGGAGTTTACACTATGTGTAGAAAAAATTAGGATCCTGAAAGCCTGTCTCTGCTTTTGATACCTTTCAAAAATTTACTTTAGCTTGTATGTGTTGTCAACTGTAGTTCTTAGAGCAACAGCTTTGTATGATAGGCCAAACTAGGCCAAAAGGTATTGAAACTGCTAGATGTTTGTGGGATGTGTGTTGGTATACTGACAGGGAGCGAGTCTTTGCACAGTGAAAAATGAGCTCATTTAAAACTGCTCAGTGCTTGTCTACATCTGAGCTAAATGCTTGTAATTTCACATCCAGCTCTGAATGCATTTCCTGACAATGGTTTGCAAGAGGAAGTGATACAGAATACCCTGAACGAGTCAAGACAAAGAGTGTGACATAAAAGAAGTGTTTTATTTGATAGTTATTCTGTGCTAATTGCTTGTGGGCTTTTCATTTTGTTCATCTCACAGACAATTTGAAATCTTTTAAAGGGCACCACAGAATAGGTATTTAGAAATAAGTCTCATGAAACAAGTCTGCTTTGATTTGGTCACTTCAAAGAGTACATATACATGAGAAGAAACCTAAGATGTATCGTTAAAAAAGAAGCAGTAAATCTGCACAAAAATAGCGACTGTTGCAAACTTGCTATGTTATCGGTTTTAACCACATCCTGTCAAGACCTCACTTAAAGTTCAGTAAGTAAAAAATCATACCACCTTCGCACATTGGAGTGGTTGCAACTATCAAAATGAGTAGGTTAGTGTACAAAAAAGTTGCAATTTGCAGCAGTATCAACTCAATATCATGCAAAGCATGCAACAGACACACCGGTCCACTGTGTAAATAAGAAATGGACTGGGTCTTACAGTGCTTTTCTACTCTGAGCTTTCAAAACACTTAACACAACTTGCCTCATTTACCCATTCACACAAGCACCTGCTCCACCTCATGAGCTACCACAATTCATGCTTTGCCTCTCCAAAGTGTGAAATGGCTATGCTTGCAGACGTTGAGAATACAGACCATACACGCATTAGGCCACTAATTCTTAAGCTACTGCACAACTGAAAAATTAGATACCTCAAGGAGAATTGCTCTTCATGAGACAACAATGTATCGTTTCAATTGGAAATGAACACAATTTTAAATGACATGTAATTAGTCATATTTATGCTGTTATATATCTACAAATAATGCTAATAAAAAATTTCACACTAAAGATAAAGAAATATTTAAGAAAAGGTCAACAAAAAATCCATCCATCCATCCGACGGGCAATTTAGTGTTTCCAATTAACCCAACTCTATAAACAAAACAAAAAACAACAACAACAAAATGTTTGTAAAAAAAAAAACAAAGATAGAAATAAACTGTCTTGATGCTCGATCAATCATCCAGGTAAGTAAATGCCAAAGGTTGATTCTGTTCATCTAGGTGAAGCATCTTCAATGGGAGAAACGTTTTGTTACTCATCCCAGTGACATTGAAAACGCTACGTTTTTAAATAATAATTAAAAATATATTTAATTGTACTAATCGAGTGTAACATTAAAATGTTACAGTTTTGTACTTGTACTGTAATTGTTTTGTTCCTTTTTTCCTTTTCTGTTTATATTTTTCCTTGTATTTCCGTTTTTTTCCCTGAATTGATTATTTACATATTCTGAAAAAAACATTTCTTGACTGTGTAATCCACTCACTGCACCACGGTTATTGACCAATAACAAACCAAAGTTGGGCGACATGAGAGGAGACACTTGTCTTCAGGGAAGAGTGTCTGTAGTTCAATACAAATTTATTCTGGGTGATCATGTTTATTGTTTGATCAAATATTTTATCCTAATGAGATTCGTCTATTTTAGATGCTAAAGCCTCCATTCCCAGGACACAAGGGCTTACTGAGTGATTTCATGAGGATATAAATAATGTGAATTATGCTGTTACCTTCACAGTCACCAGATCTCAGCCTCGCTTAACACACATTAAGATTTAGGACGTATGCATTATGCAGTTTTCTGTGCAATATGTTCTATCCCATCAGAAGCTGTTATTGACAAACGTCATGGTCTAAAACTTTAGAGCATTATATATGTATTTATGATATATGTATAATTATGATATATCTGTGGTTCATGTGTATATTGGAAGAGCAGATGGATGATTGTTAAGTCATTAGAGGGTCACAGAGATAGCTTACAAATACCTGATGAAGTTGGGAGGCTGACCTCTGCCTGTGGTCACCTACTATACTGTATATCTGTCTCTTTTAGTATGGAATCGTTCTGGATGCAGGCTCATCCCACACCTCCGTGTATATCTACAAATGGCCGGCTGACAAGCAAAACAATACCGGCATCGTTACCCAGCACGATGAGTGTCATGTAAAAGGTGAGTTCATTTGCATTGTTCAAGACAAAGTTGATCAAAAGAGAACTCAATCATTACTTTATCTCGTGGTTTGAGTGGTAAATGTGGGCAACAGCATATACTCAGAATCAGTAGCGGTTTTTGATACGGGCGGTTGCCCGGGGCAGCATCGTGGTGGGGAGCGGCATCGCGGCATCGGCAAAAAATAAAAATAAAAATAGTTGCTCGTACTCATGCTGCCCCGACGTCATATGGGGAATGGTACAGGCACCGATCGGTTTTCTATCGCCCATTTGCTGGGAGTAAGGGCGCCCTCCGTTTGCGAGGGGGGAGAGGGCGGGGCGGCGGGGAGTCTCTGGCTGGCTGGAGCAGCGTCTAATAACCAACTAGCAAAATAAAACAAAATAAAAACAAACCAAAAAACACGAAAACACCAGACATCATGATACAGACTTAGAATTTGCACCGACGTTTTTCGAAATTCTATACACGAAAAGTGGGCGCGAGAGCCCTCGGTGCGCATGCTCGCTGCTGAAGTCAAAGAAAACTTTATTGTCATCTCCGCTACAGTCCAGCATATAGAGAGACGAGACGAGGCTCCAGTTACAGCAGTGCAAGTAAACAAACAATAAATATAAGAAGAGTAAGAAAATAAATATACACTTTAGGACTCTGGGTAAAGGATCAATAACAATTTAAAATTTATAACTTACAGTTTGATGATTTAAAGTCTCACACACAACAACACAAGGGGAGGGGGCCGGCTGCTTCCAAATAGAGCACATGCACTAGAGGGAGTGTTCGCCCAGGGCGCCAAACAGGCTAGGACCGCCACTGCTCAGAATGAAATCTAACTTTTAGTTTCTAAAAGTATGTCAGCA